ATTTGTATTTAATGAAAAGATGAATCTGAGGTATAATATCATTGATCAAATCAGCCCTAAATTACGCATGCCAGTGAACTTAGATTCTAGCATAAGCAAGAATTTAGCAAATTTATGATTCCCACTGAAATATGCATTACTATGACACAATCCCCCGTAGTTCATTTGATGTACCACCAAGACTTTATATAATCACCTGAGAATTAAAAACCCAATATTTACACAATAATTTGAGGGCCATTTCTAAAGAAATTCCTAGCTAATTATATCATATAACCAGCAGAGAAACAATAAAGATCACATAAATTATTGTGAACAGACCTTGGCTAAGACTTCCCCCAACGGATGTAATTTAAGTCCATTCATGATCTTTTGCCAATTGCGCTTAGGCTTATTAGGGCCAGTAAAGCCAGGAGGTAAAATATAGTCGTCAGCATCATCATCATCATCATTCATAGAATAAGATTGATTCTCCGCTTCCTGCTGGTGAACATCCTCTTTCTCAGACTCTTCTTCGTCTTCGCTGTCTTTGGCAGTTGCCGATAATAGAGAATCGCGCAACTGCTTTCTGAATTCTTCAAAGTCTTCCTCATTCTCCTTTCTCTTCACTTTTTGATAAATATGATGGTTGGCCGAGGCAAATAAAAAAAATAAATTACTCATTAACCTATAAACTCTGATAGAATGCAGTAATGACTCAGACGGCTTGAGAAGTCGTGGCGTCCTATTAACAGTTTTTAATAATTAAAACAACCATCAAGCACAATATACCAACAATTGTCTGATAGCATCCGATTCTTTAATTTTGCACGACCTTCACAAACCAATAAATATATCTAATCATTTTTTCGATTTGTTCAGCCTTCATTCTCACAATTCATTAGTTTAACTCTATACAGGAAGTGTCCAGAATACATACGAACTCAAATTAGCGAAGTTGCTTAAGATGATTTTAGGACTGATAATTTATTCACCTAAAATGCATTTAGTAGGCTTATTGATGTCATTTAACTTCACTCAGCCTTGCCTACCAAATGGCTTTGTCTTCCTGCAGTTTAGGATTCTCTTGGGTATAGTTAACATCAAAAATCTAAGTCTCAAGTGGCCTTAAAAAATAGGTACAATTTCCTCCTCCAGCTTTCCCATCTTAGTGTTGAGTGCATTTATAGAAAGCATACTTTCCTGCTCTGACGATGCCTTTTAAATGGCAAGCAAAATCTCTGCACAGATTCGTCAGGGTTGCAGGTCGGCTCATCGAAAAGTAATTCGAATAAATATACACTTACAAATTAAATACAATCCTTTATCGGCTTTTGGTGGGATCAAAATCACTAAACATAACCAACTCGTCATTGCATTCAGTGTGTAACAGGGCAAATAGACCTTTCCAGAAAAGCCAGATCAACTTCAGTATTTGTATATTTGGAGTGCCGACGTTAAAGTAGACTTGCACTTGTCATTATTATCAATGAAATTCCTATAGACCAAGTGAGAACTATGAATAGAATTATCATATGGTATTCTGTATGAAAGCGCATGAAGAAGAGATTCGTAGGTCGATTTCAACAGAAGACGACAAATAATTCTGGTTATTTAGCAGTCGCCTGTCACTAAAAAGTCGTTAAGGTTGACGTAGTCCTCGAGATCTCTTCTCTAGTTTCAAGTAAAAATGGATCGAGCTGTGTTATGCGATATGACAAAGACCGAAATAATTAGTACTAATTTTGGGAAAAAACGTCAACTTAACGACAATTCATAGGACTCTCCGGGTCTACACTACACGTTATATGTATACTCACAACTAAAAATACATGTTTCGTTTTATAAGCAAAATCTCGAGACTACCAGTAAATGAGTTATATGAGATGTATTCCCAATGTCTAGTTTAAGATGATGAAGGATTGGTAGATGCATTTTTCCACAATCATATGAATAGAGCTGACAGTTCCATTGAATTTCACACAGCCTCGCTTTCCCAAAAGGTGTTCTCATCCAGGCTGAAGTGGACTGCAGTTTTGACCTCGCATTGCTCTTATCAACACCCCCAGCAGGAGTCGAACCGTGACAGTGCAGGACGGTAGCTTGACACGCTAACCACTCGGCTACACTGCCACGAGTAC